ATTGATTATGTCTTTTAAAGCCAAGTCAAGACTCTCAAGGTCAAGTTAAAGCCAAGTTATTTGAATATTTTGCTAAACACGATTTCACTCATATAATAAGGAATTATATTGAGTTTTATTAATGTAGGTTGGACCCATTTCAGATAGCATATATCTATTAATTATAATCTCTTATTTCAAGAGAACACTCTTTGATTCCAACGAGAAATTACCAAGCGTTACAATTTACCCCCACAAATGTATTTTATTTGTAATGGTGACTGGATCTAAGTTAATTGCCTATATTGATTTACATACTCATTATCGGGATCAAGCCGATTCGTAGTTCAGGGAGATTAAATTATTATTATTTTTTGGGTAAGATCAATGAGTAAATGATTTATTGGTCCCTCAGCCCTCGCTTTCCCTTGATTTCCTAAACAGGAAACCTTGATGTCTAAGGTTCACTTTTGTGTACAAGACATTACTGATGGAATGAAACAGATGTCCCAAATACCTCTTCTTTGAATCTTCTTTACATCAGTCAATCAAAGGGCTATAGTGTTCATACAGAAACAAGTCTGAGTTGACAAAAGCCAACAAGAGTTACCACCACAAAGCAACCTTGAACACTATTAAACCATAATCTAAAAATTTAATTGTTAGAGATGATGTAACTCCTCATTTCTGCAAATGGAGTATATATGCATACTTGATCAAAAAAATTCATAATGGAGTTGGTCACCTGCACTGTATAGGAGTAAATATGCATACATATAAGGTTCACAACACAAACAGGTAAACCCTCAGCCCTCACTTTCCCTTGATTTCCTAAACAGGAAACCTTGTTGTCTAAGGTTCACTTTTGTGTACAAGACATTACTGATGGAATGAAACAGATGTCCCAAATACCTCTTCTTTGAATCTTCTTTACATCAGTCAATCAAAGGGCTATTCATAAACTTTCTCTTGGCAAACGCCAACCACCACAAACTACCATGTCCCCTCATTTCAGTGTGCCCTTCCGCACAATGAATGTAGCAATAGGTCCTTTAGATTTATGAAGAACTGCCTCAATGACTGTGCCCATTGCATCTTTGTGAGGATTAGCCTTCAATTTTTTTGTTAGGTTTACGTTGGTATGTTAATGACATTCATGAATTGTAACTCAAAAAAATCTGAGAATGATTCACGTTTCAATACAATCATTTGAGTCTACATAAAAATTGAGAACAAACCATCAACTTGCTTAGTAAGTAGAGTTGGCCTTGGAATCGGTTGTTTCCAAGTTAATTACTATATTAATTGCATATTGAGGGATAAATTCAAAATATCTGCAAAGTCTACACTTGAGGAGTTGTTCTATCAGTTAAAAAAACAAGGGAGAATAGGCATGAAATGGTTAACTTTTTTGATAACTGACGTCCTGAATATTTAGAGACAGGGGGCATTAATGAAGGAAGTCAAGAGGTTTCTGGGTCAATTAAAAAAATGGGTAGTGTACTATACTTAGATGACATGCAAACTGTGTCAGCGAATCACATGTGGTTTAAACACAACTATTAATATTACTTAAATTAGATACAAAGAAAGAGAAAGAATGAAGCGAGGAAATAGGCTTCAGAAAACTAATGGTATGTCAAACGTCGCATGCAATTAACCTTAATGCTTCGTTTGGTAGAAATGATGAAAAGTAAGAATGATGGAAAGTAGGAGGGATACATTTTCTATCCTTCAAGGATGAAAAATATGAATGATACACTTTCTTTCATTTGTGTTTGGTTGGATAGATGAAAAATAAAAATAATCAATTTTTTTTTGCCTAAAATTAAGGATGACAATCGAGTCGTGTCGTGTCAGATTCATGTTGAAACATAAAATTATGAATTTTTTATATTTTTTGTTCACGTGTAAGGTCATTTTCAAGTTCGTGTTGAGTTGTGTCGAGTTCGAATTATGTCATCGTGTTAAGTCGAAAATTTTCACCCCTAATTAAAAAGAAAAAATATTTTTTTTTAATTTATTTTTTAATTTTTTTTAAAAAAATTATATATATATATATATATGAAATTAATGTATACATAATAGTTCTATATATTAAAAGATATATAGACAAATAAGATATATCTCAATACAAATAATTAACTTTTCATCCACTTTACTTTCAATTTTATAAGGATTGATTTTGGTAAGTTGGAAAGAAAGTTAATTTATCCGTTTTTCTCTCCTTCCTATTTTCCTTCCTTACCAAATATAATGTTTTATTTATTATTCTAACTTTTCATCCTTTTAACTTTTTATCTTTCTATTTTTCCATCATACCAAACGTAACAGGAGTTTTAATTGTCATCCTTTCTCTAACCATGATACAAAAGAAGACCGGTCCATTGAAATTAAAATCAATTGATTAATTATTATTCAGATAACAAATTATTTATTTCAGTTAACTAATGATATCTTTGACAATTTGGTTGGAAATGTATGTGATAAAATGAAGTAATTTTCTTTCAATTTTTTGTTATTTATATTTTGATTCATCTTGGTTGAAGGAGTCATATAAATCATTACAAGAAATACATCGTATATCGTAATTTTATATTATTTTGGACTAACATTCTTGATTGTAAATGTTTAATCGCCTAATCTATTGATAGGAAAAGGGAGTTATGAAGAGTTCATATGATTTTTAGAATTTTTGATCTTATTTCATGTTAATTTTTTAGGATATATACATTCTATTAAATAACATCCCTGGTGGGTGATGAGTTTGTACATTTATCTGTTACGCGACATAAAAACAATTGCAACATGCTACTCATTCATCACAATAGTGGTAGCATAGTACTATTTGGCATAAAAATATGGAGTAATGTTACTAATTGTTCCTCAATTCTATATCTATATTGATATGTTTCTTATTATAACACATCGTACAAAATATTTGCAAGATAGGATGACACAACAAAAAAAGGGTGATTTTTAAGTCTTTTCTAGAGGTAGGACTTTCGTCGCCAGAAGAAAACATATTTGCGGTCTTTTGGGTTCAAAACTTATGTATGATGCATTCATCTAATGACTTTTTTTTAAGAGATGTACTTCTATCTCAATTATTTTAAAAAATATACTTTTATCCTATTAAGTTTTTAGGGAGGTATCGACCTCCCTAAGCCCCTTTAAATTTTCATAGGGTTTCTTTTAAGGCCTAAAATCTTATGAATTTAAAAATTTTGATTTGGACTAACTATGCATGTAAAAAAATTTGAGATCTTCTTGAAATATGGAGCCTAAAGTGGCTCTGTTGGCTTTGTGATAGGGCCGACTCTAATCTTTTTAGTGACTAATTTCATCTCAATGGTTTAAATTGCAAGACAAAAGTAACAAATTTAAATGGAAAACTTTGGTGAATCTAAATGGAAATGATTGAGTTATACAAACTAAAAACTTGAGAATAAAGTAATTCATCAAATTTGGTCATGTAAGTTTAAATAATCGTTTTCCATTGGAAAAAAGTATGCAAATTAGAAATTTGAAAGATTAAAGTGATATAATTAAAAGAATTAGAACTGAAGTGACACAAAACTTCTTAAATATGCATTTTTCCGAATTTTTTTTTCCCATTTCTCAAATCTTAGGGTAGAAGTACGTGCCACCTCAATGGCTGGGTGCCCACAGCCAGAAAACACGCCACACACACACCTTTTCTACCTGTATGAATATCGGACATTCGGTTGAGATCCGACTCTTGTGGTAATTAGGGAGCCACTATAGTTTAGTTAACGTGAAATGGTGCAAAACCCATTCCTGTAATCATTAACCCACATTGCAAAATAGAACAACACAATTGTCATGACTCTAGAAAGAGAGGACAAAACCCCAAAATCTCAATCCTCGAGAACCCCAAAATGCATACTCTTTCATCTCGGGGGCTCATGTCAATGGAGATACAAAGAAAGGGGCCAGGAACAGAGATGAAAAGAAACAACAAAAAATCTGGAACCTAAATGCCAGAATTTGCTACCACCAAGTCCCAGGATATGGCTTATGTAAAATGGCTCTTGCCATATATACATGTCACAGATGTGAAATACATTTATCTTACTAGAAAACTGGCAATCTCTGCTCGCCTGAAGCAAAAGAGATGATATTCCTTTTGAGTGGTGAGATATAGTGTGCCCCATGGAATGCAGCAGCTTGTAATATATTTAGCGGTCCAAAACGAACAGAGTACGCCTTCTGAAAACCATTCACGATAACCATCCTTGTCACATTTGCAGGTTTCCTGTCTGCTTCATGTTTCTTTAATAGCGACACTTGCAAAAAATGAACCAGACTCTTAATTGAGCAATAAACAATTAACCAAAGGACAAGAGCAGCCAGCTTATGGACACATTTTTCCAAGTGAAATATAACATAAAAATCTTACACAGTTACACCAGATGACATGCAGATGATCCAAGCGTAATGTCTTCAGATTCTAACATTGACTCAATTCTGTAGAATTCTTACAGTGCATGCCAAATCAAATCCTTTTACCTCTACCTTGACATCTGTTCAGCCATCTTGATCTTAGTGGCCATGTTGCTCAACATTTTATGGTTCAACAGCTAAAGAAATTTTAAGCAAAAGGCAATCATCTCAAGTCTTCTTTCTCCCCCCAAGGTTTGCAGCCCTTACACTGTTTGGGCATTACCGGCAATAGTCCAAGGTCACAGTATCGGTAATGGACTCGGAGGGCATTGAGACATATTAGTTGCGACATGATGGAATGGTGTTAGGCGAGACACATGAAATTAGACTTGAAGAGTGTTTCAGGGCATATCTCGATGTTGTAGAATAATATCGTCTTGTAGTAGAATGATGACTCGAATAACTCCGTTGAGTCATCCAAGATGCCTCCAAGTCAACAATTAGGCGAGTAAGACTCGTGGTTTACACAGAACTGAAAATGTCAAGTCAGATATGACTTGGCTGATCCATGTTAGTATCAGTTGATCCTTTGAACCATGTTACATGCCGTTGCACTATGCTAAAAGGTCATTCTTCAGATTGTTCCCGGATATGCAAAGTGCTATAAAAGCTAGGCTAGATATATACCCAATTTCGGGAATTTTTGCACAAACTGCTACTCTTTGATACAAATCCAAGTTCTCACTCTTAGCCCGATCATTCTGCCATTCAACCAATAAAAAACCCGTATTCCGATAATTATTCTAGCAATGGGTACATGCCAAACGCCCTAGTAAAGCCAAGGAGCTTTTGACTGAAGAGGAAAAATAAAAAATTATTAACTTGGCATTTAGTTTTACTTTGAGAAAGAACGATGGGTATTTCTTTTATGATATTAACTAGCCTTCTAAATTGCATGTAAACTTTTTCTCTTCTATTTCTAAGTTGGGTGGCTTTTAAGATGCTTGCCTTTAGGACCATGGTCATTTGTTCACTAGTTATAGGTGAGAACAACATCCACATCCTTACTCTGATCTATGACAAAAACCTTATACTGGAATCTCTCCGGTAGAGACCTTAAGAATTTCATTATTTCAGTCTCAAGGATTCTTTCATATAGGTCGAAGGATGAATGAATTACGTCACCAAGTTTAGAATAAAATTTACATAAGTTTTCATGATCCTACATATCATAATTCTTTTAAATAGTGAGGTCAGCATTTGGAGCTTAGAGATTCTATTGTGTAGGAACCAATGGGGATCACCTGCAAAATGTTTCATGCTTGGAAGTTTTGCATGTCATGAATATGATATTTCATAAATCTTTAGGGGTGACAACACTAAATATAGCATTGATTCCCTTGGTATTCCAACCACTCCCCTCAAGTCCTTCTTTTGTACAATGTTTTTCCCGGTTTGGTTTTCTATGTAAAAACCACTTGCCTTTGGATTATTTTGAGATGGAATTGTTGTGGTTTCTCTAAACACATTAAGTGAGGTATATCATTTATATATTGATCATAGGGTGGTTAGATGATCGACCCTACTGATATTGTATGCAATTCTAATTTGACTGCTAATATTGCATCATCGTGCTTGGATTGAACTATTTCGTAAATTTATATTTAAAAGTGTAAAACTCAAGAGAGCATCCTCCTTTCAATTGGTATCAGAACAGTTTTATTTTTTGTTAGATATTCGTTGACATTAGTACCCCAACAAATGTCTAGATTTGAGACTTTCCCTCCAAGGCCACCACTTCCACAGTAAAATTTCAAATGCAACAAGATTACTTCTGATTGTGTTTTTCGTAGCAGTCTTACTTTTGGACATGCTTCATTTGATGTGCTCTTCTTCTTCAGACATATTTGGTTGGCATGGTGCTAGAACTTTGTTCAGAGATGTTGGATGCTCAAGTAGAATTCGGAGCATTCCAAAAACTTAGAGATCCAACTACAAGAAGACACGTAGTTTGATACAACATTGTTTTGGTATCTTTCGACTCTATTTTCTTTGGGTGAAGATGGTTTGGTAATAGTTTGCTTCTTCCAAAGCATGCCCCATTCGTTCCGCTCGCAACAATCCAATTAATTCTCCGAGTGAAAAAACATTAGACATTCCATCTTCTGAAACCAATACTTTTGATGATATTTGACGTACAATAATTTCTATAAGCCTATTATGGATCTATATAAGGCATCTCAGGGTCAAGTGTTGATAAGTACATTGAACTATCCATGTGGTTGAGAACCCTCACAACCCAGGCACAATGAAACAATTATTAGGGGCGCACTCTATCATTGAACTAATAGCCCGTCGTGTGAGCCTCCCACTGGCCCGCTATGCCAAAAGCAAGAGAAACCCTAATGATTCATTGGTTGGGATGGCGGAAGCAACCAAAAACTCATTCATCTATTCGGGGAAATCATGAGCTAACTCTACAATTGAAAGAGTAGATATTCGCCCATGTTGGCTTTGATTGAACAGAAAAAGAATGAATGAAGTTAGCATTTTTTGTTCCATCACTGGACGGGATAAAAAGGAAAGTCCAAAAGACCTCATCAGTTTTTCCAAAGCTTCATGGTGAAAACCATCAATAAACAATGATTCATATGAAACAAATCCCCACAAAAGTTCACAAAATAGTACACACCCAATGATCAAGGCTTCTTCCACTACAAGAATGTGGCAATGTGTTTATGCCCCGAGCATATGTCCATTAATCCTACTGTTCAAAAAGTAAAGTTTTTTAGGGGTAATATAGTAAGGAAATTGATTTTGTTCCACTAGTTTAGACTTTGAATCTGAATGTTAGCATGCTCTACACACAAAGGACACAAAACTTTCTCATAAGCATAATCAAGAAAGAACTGCTTTGGGAAGATTTTTTCCAACAATTACCTAGACAATTGAAAAATATAAATTTAAGAACAACCACCATTAACTGCATCCTATCAAAATAACCATGTCGATGTTGTTCAACATAATGCCAAGTGCCAACATCTTCAAAGTAGAACTGTCACTGTTACATGGTTAGAAGTAACAAAACATTCCTTCTCATCTTTTTCAGAAAAATATATTGTACTTCCAGGCATACTGGGCAACACTTCAAAAGATCAAAACCAAAAATCATAAGACAATCAATAAGTTGTCATCAAAACTTTAAGATGGGATAAAACACTATTCCAAGAAAAAACAGAGAAACTTCAGATACATAAAGAGATGGTTTTTCTTTTCATCAGTGGGCCCGAAAATCACAAAACCACATCTAGAAAAATTTTCTCAAGATACTAATATCTTGAACAATAGACCTACAAGTTCATGCAACCAGCAACTAACATTTTAAAACTTTACTAAGGTATTGTGTTGTTGAGCCTAACCACAAGAGATAAAAAAATGATTAACCTGAAAAAACCTCTGGTGACTGTTTCCTTTTTTTTTAGAATAGGTACTATGGATGTAACCGTTTGAGCGCAAATCAAGGAAAATGAAATAATTGTTTTTCAGGTAAATGAAATTATTTAGCTAAGCACAATTTGAAACAACTTTGAAAAGAGAGAGGGTTGCAGGAGTGATGGTACTGACCCTTGGATCTGGGGATCCTCTTTGTTGATGGAACGCCCACTCATTAAAGCAGGATTGCTGTCAATGATCGCAACACTTAACTGCTTCATTAGGGGCATGCTTCCTGCAGGCATGTTGTACAAACTAGTTACTTGGCATGTACCATATGAAGGGCAGAAGGGGTTAGTCATATACCACTGGAACGGCATGAAATTTTTTAAATGCTCCTATATTTTTATTCCCTAAAACCAACTTCCAGTGGTAAGGCATTGAAGAGTTGAAGGCAAGGTGGGAAACAAAACAAATGAACACAAACAGTTGGCAAATAGAATTTTTTCCTACCAAAGTAAAGCCTAAAAGCCAATTCGAAGCAAAAACCATATCCCCTGCCCCCTCTTACGCAACCCTAATTAAGGATAAATAAAAGAATAAAAACTTCATATATTACTTTTTTATCCTATGAATTTCCATGCTAGATTTGGTCAGATGATCAATACAGAAGTTTGTGGACTGAGACTGTTAAAACCTGTGTGAATCCGATAAATAAGGTCGTGGAACTGAGTAACTAACAATGTGAAAATTGGTGAATGAATGCTTAGTTTAGGTTTCTCAATTGCTGATAACAGGCACAGATTGCTTTGGCCAGTGACTAGGAGGGAGGCAATCTCACAGCTGTTCAATTAGGGGCAATGAAAGTCCCATGTCATGATGGTTTTAATGGATTATTTCATATATTGAATACGTCTATTGCGAACTAGAAAGCACAAGCATGTAAGCTTTCTTCAGTTATTATAAACAATCCCAGGAGAAATAAGAAGCACCAATGGGCCTATGGTTTAATGGTACCCCTAAAGGGTTCAAGTTTCCCTCTCTAAAAGTAATAAAAAAAAAAGAAGCAAAATAGTAACCAAGAGTCCAAAAAGGGTAAAAATAGGATTTAAAGGGGAGAGAGCATTCTCTCTCTCTTCTCCCTTCCAACCTATGTGCACCACCCAGGGGGAGACAAATCAATCTAGAAGTATACTTAAAAGTATGATGAACCAGCTAGCAAAGACAAAGTTTTTCCCCAGGCACGTGACTGATACCAATAGATAATGATACAATTCCTGAGCTCATTAACTGAAGCTCCACCCCTCGAAAGTATGCCTACTTCTTTACTTCCAATAACCCACAAAGACAAATGGGAGGTCCTTTCCAAAAGGATCCAGCTCCCCTGGAACTCCTCTGGCCTGACCAAGAGCTGTTACCTCCATTATGAACCTCCCGCAGGACTTGTCAACTCCTAAATTAGCTGAACAAATTGAACTGCAAACCCAGGCAACACATCACCAAATGAGAAAACCTGGCCACATAACATAACAGCATGCCACATAAAACTTGATCTCCGAATTGCACCAACTCCTTGGGACGATGGAGGTCAAACAAGATGCCTCATGCTAACCTCGCAAAATCCTTGCATACCACCCTGAATATCACCCCATGGGTGCCCGTACACTTACATATGTAAATGAAATGGGTGAGAATACACCATTTTCTCCATAGTCGTGTGCCATCACAAATTCTTACCCTTTTCCAATTAACCTTAGACACCTTACTCACCAATAAAGGGTAGAAGCTCCAAAACCATCATTTTAACTGGCCACCTTAGACAATTAGACACCTCAGTCACCAATAAAGGATCAAAGAACGAAAACCATCATTGTATCAGGCCAACGTCAGAAGTAAACTGAAGTAAAAAAGCACCATACGAAGTGTTACCAGCTGTTAGCTTAAGTAGTATATCTTATGACCCTAAAGGGAAAGATGCAGGATCAAGTGGGGCACCGGTGTTTGCATACTTACCAAAAGATTTAAATGGCGGTGCACCTAATAAATCATGAACATTTAGATATAAAAGAAAGCTTGCACAGCTAATTATTGTCAAGAAAGAAACCAAAGCATAAAAAGTCATTTCTCAATTCGATCGCACTTAGGCAAGGTGCTGTAGGGTGATGACTGAAAACAATCATAAGCTTTCACATATTCGCACTAAATAGCTACTCCTGGAGTTGAACCTGCATTCTCAAAAAAAGTAACTTGTTTATGCAGTGTTTCTTCTCCATCACCTATTTCTTTCTTCCTCTGGTAATCGATTGTGCTCATTTCATCAACATCATCCCTCTCTAAACCCCTAATAACCAACTAACTATTAGCAGCAAAATGCAATTGATATGAATAATCTTTACTACAGAGACAAACCTACTATGTTATAACAACAAAATGCAATTGAAACGAATAACCTTTACGACAGAAACAAACAAACTATCTTATGGCCACCAATAAATAGTTAAGGGAAAATTGTGAAAAAATACACTATTTCATACTTATTTGTGTAAAATACTTTAATATAGAATATATGTGTATAAGTACCTTTGTGTATAAATATTTAGTAAAGAAGTACACTTTTATTGGATTGAAATTTTTTCTCTTACGAAATTGCCCTTTTCTTTTATTAATGAGAGACAAATATGACAGTTATATTAGAAATTCAGTTTCCTAAATTTATGAAATAGCATTTTTGAATATTAAATTATATCTTTCTCCTTCATTCAACTTAAGTTATTCAAACATTCATGTTTTTTTCATATTTGTATAATTTATTTTTTTTATATAAATCGTCATAATCAATATGATGATTCTAATTCGGATGATGATTTGTTATCTCACACAATAATGTCACAGTGCTACAAGACAATGTCATACTAGTACTAGAAATTGTCACACTGCTACAAACCAAATTCACACTACTACAATGTCGTCCATATGTTTTTTTTTTAAAAAATAAAAAAATTGTTACGGTCTCTTAACGTCAATCATGTTCATGTAAGGATAAATGTCAATGATGATGATTCAAATGGGGATGATCATAATAATCAAGATGATAATTTTAATTCGGAGGATAATTTACTGTCTCGCACAATAATGTCACAGTACTACAAGATAATATCACACAGGTACTAAAAAATGTCACACTGCTATAAATTAAATTCACACTGCTAGAAACCAGCATCAGTCATTTTTGTGTATCCTAAGTACTGTTGCGTTACTTGACTTGGTAACTTTTTCTTAAATGAGTGTTGCAGAACTGAAATATAATTTTTGTTACTGTAGACAAATAAAAAATGTGTCATGTGTGTGTTTTTGTTACTTTATTATTTTTTATTATTATATTATTTTTTTTTTCAAAATTAACCTTAACGTTTTATGAAGTCTGGATAAAATGTGGTGCACGTTTTTTTTTCCCACTTGGCTGACATTTACACCGGAAGATTTGGAAATTCAAATGGAAGTTTTTGGAAAAATGAGGTTTTCGACTATATTTGAGAGATTTATGTGTAATAGTTGAGATCCCTTAAATTTTGGTTGTGGAAGCAAAAATATAAGAATCAATTCTTATTCTATTAAAGAGAGTATTTTAGAAATTTGTTAGGGGTTGGATACTTTTTTACCTATATTTTTAAAAGTAGTATTTTTTGCCCTATAATTTCTAAAAAAAAATACCGGACCTCTTAAAACCCTTAGTTAAATGGCTGAAGAAGATATCAAAACTTTTAGCATTAACGGGCTTACCGTCTCTTTTCTAAAGAAAAAATCATAGAGGTATCACCCTCAAACATTCGCTAACCATTCCCCTGTTCCTTAGGTGTAATAGTTGAATTGCTAAAGAAGATAACGGAACTTTCAACATTAACAGACTTATTGTCTCGTCCCTAAAGGAAACTCAGAGAGGTACCACCCTCGAGTAGTTACTAACCGTTCCACCTTCCCTTCTGTAAATGTGATTACAGTTGAAGAAGATAACATAACTTTCAACATTAGCAGGCTTATTATCTCGCCTCTAAAGGGAAAATCAGCGAACCCTTGAGCAGTCACTAACCTTCTGTATACACCATTTCTTTTTGAATGCTTCGCCTTGTTCTTTGACACACTTTTTCCACCAACAACGATGTTTGGACTATCCTTAAAACATAGTGTTCTTCAGTAGTGACTCGAATAGAACCTCTATTTTCAAACAATGCCACCCATCCATAACTCTTAATATATTATTAACAGCATAACTTGCAAATAATCCAATTATTTTTTAAGAAGCCAAGTAATCATAACATCTAACTACAATTTCTACGGACAAAAAAAGAAATTCGGGGAATCATATAAGACTTCTAAATCAAGTGTTTGAATTCCTAAACATAACCTCACAATTGTTTTTGATGATACTTGATTTCCCATATATCAGCCATAATGACAACGAATACATGATATCCAATCTTTTCTTTCTTGCAAATCACACACCTAGGGTGGTGGTTTACAATCTCTATAAATATTACACGATATTCGGTAAATGTGATTACACTTAAATCATACATAGATCCAAATCAATGTTGTCATTAGGAGATTGAAAAAATGTGATTACACTCATGGACACTAACGTTGCGTTTGGTATGCGATAATATTTTCAGTAGGAATGAAATGAACTTGAAAATGGAATGGAATGGAATGCGCATTACTTTTTCAATGTTTGGCAACCGTTTAGGATTAAGTGATGGATATTTCATTCCTGTGTTTGGATAAAACAATTTTTTCATCGGAATGAAAACAACTTTAATCAAAATATCCCTAATGACTAAAAATAATTAATAACAATTTTTTTTTATGATTGCAATTGCAAGTTGTGTACAAAAATTTATAATTAGAAAATTTGATAATCCATTGAAAACAATTAAGCCACTATAAATTTTAAAAAAATAGAAAACAAATTCCTTCGAAAATAGGTTCACAAAAAGAAATCAAAAAATATTCAAAATCAAAAAATATTCAAAATTTGTCATTCATTTCAAATGAACAACTATAATTCTTTGTGAATTCAATAGAGCACATGTGCAAACCCAAAAAAAAAAAATATAAAGACAACTAGCAATCTGATTCGAACATGCAGGTTGAACCAAAAAAAAATCAATGAAAAGTAAGTCCAAAAAATAATCAACAGTATACAGAAAACAAAAATAAGTTGAATAAAAAAAAAGAATTCTTAAATTCATTTCATTTCATCTCAATAGCATTAGAGGTAGAATTCCAAGAAACAAAAGTATTCTCAAATATAAGTACAAAAAATTACACTCTTTGTCTACTTGCTCTCCACTCATCAAACATTTTGTTTGCCGAATTCAATCTAAAGGTTGACCACTCATTGGATGTTTCAACCGTGGTAATACGATCATCATGTGCATCATTTTCCACCACGAGACCTGCTGCATCTACCTCCGCCTCAGTTGGGTCTATTGGCATCAGATCCCTGATAAACATTTACTAATAAGTATAAAAACTTTAACTTCACCAATTATAAATTCAAATAAGAAAAACAAAGAGGAAGTAGATCTTCTAACAAAATACATAACAGAGATTACCAGCATGCATGAATAGATGACTCATCAAAATCAGTCCAAAATCATCATGTTTAATACCAAAAGAATGATGTAATTTGAGTAAGTTGATGTCGTGACAAGGTTAACTATCTCCTGTCGTACATTACCCTCTCAACTATCAAGTTTTTCATAATGCACCTCCTACTATAGTTACAAGTTTTACATTGCTCCCTCAACTATTAGGTAACATGGTATTGGAATGTTAAAACAACTCAAGTAGTTAAGGGGCAATTAAACAATTAAACTTTCAAAAGAAATCAAACATGATATGGAATTAACCTTCTGCTTTCAGCATTGTCTAACCATCACCATCACACATACTCTTCATGGCAGTAATTGAATTCTCTACTTAGATTATTTATTGCATTCATCTCACACAGTAATTGGCTTTCTTCTGTTTTAAAGATCTCAGCAGTGATCATCATTAAAGCCTTTTCAAAGCTGTAGATCCCTATTTTCGCATCATAGTTTGCCAGAGAGATATAGTTTGCCAAAGAGATATAGCACAGTTACTGTAATCTATTTGTGAAACGTTAACACCAACAATTGGAGCCCTATTCCCATTTCTATAAGCCCTTTCTAAAGCAATCTCTAGCAGCCGAAGTTCTTTTTTGATTTCATGTTTATCGCATAGTTTAAAGGCTCATTCCTCAACCATCAGACATAAATTTTGAATGTTTTGCTCCAATAACAACTGTTTTATCAAAACAAACAGGACAGCTAGTTATTGTTTTTAGGTTTTTTTCCATTGTCTGGTTGCACACACACACACATATATTTATGCTCAATTGCTCTTTGCTCATCTCCTATTTCCCGTCTCTTCATGTTGCATGCAATGTGTATATGAGTTTTGTTGTCTTTTCCTCCACCCTAGATTTATTTTTATACACAGAATTAGTTTTCTAGGGTGTATATGACAAAAACACTTGATATTGCGGAAGGGAGGACTATTTGCATCATTTTTGTATTGCAAAGCATATTCAAATTTACACTTTGGATAGAAAATTGTGGTCTTGCCAGTCAAGAAACAATATGCTTGATGTCTACACACTAGAGATGACTACAGAATTAGACAAAAATAAGTACAATTGTTTCTTACACTACATTTGAGAGCACAATCTATGTGAGTAAAATGAAAATGCTTATGTCCGACATTTTCTCTAACACCTTC